CCATGGGCATTGGTCATGTAACAGCTGGGTTCTCAAAGCCATACTACTATTTCTTTAAAAAAAAAAAATTAACTACAGTCTCACCTCCCTCTGCTTCCCTGAGCTGAACAACCTTCCAGCCTCTCTAGTGCATAAGTCCACCCACACCTGGGTAAGCCAACCACGCCTTGACTTCCCTAGCCTCATTCACCCTCCCAACTCCCCCACCCAGCTCTCCTCCTAGCCTAGGTACTATCCCATTTCTTGTCTTGGCACCCCAGACACCAGGGCTGACCTCAAGGCCCAGACCACCACTGCTTCCTGATCCTTTGCATCCAGACCAACCCAGTTCCTTCTCAAGGTCCCCAGGAGTCCTCTGGGCCAGGTCCCACCCTCACCTCCCTCTGCTTTCCTGGGCTGCACAACCCGCCAGCCTCTTTCCTGGGTAAATCCACCCAGTGCCCACCTTGATTCCTGCAGGCTCATTCATCCTCCCACCTCCCCTGCCCCATCTCTCCTCCTAGCCTGGGTACTGGCCCATTTCTTGTCTTGGCGCCCCAAACACCAGGGGCTGACCTCTCTGCTTGGAGCCATTACTGCTTCCTGATCCTTTGCATACAGACCAACTGCAGTTCATCCCTGCAGTCCCCAGGAGCCCTTGGGGCCTCCTTCCTGTCCTCACTTCCCTTTGCATTCCTGAGTGGCAGGCCACCAGCTGCCCGAAACCAGCATCTCTCCTGAGCCCTGCTCCCAGGCCAGTCCAACCCCCAAATTCCTGAGGACAACATCTTTCCTGGAGGGATATAGACCTTAAGAGAAAGCCTGAGAGCATCTGATCCTCATCTGACTTGGGCCTCTGTGGGAACTCCTAAAGACAAAAGCAATCGCACTCCAATAAAAAATGAAAGAGAAACGGAAGCTTAGAGGAACCAGCTTTGCATGCCCAAAAAGTAAACCACAAACACACATAAAATTCACAAAAAGAAGCAGACCTAAACTTGAAGGCTTGAGTCTCACACAAGAATCAGAAACTACAAAAGAAATTCACATGTCAAAATCACAGAGAAAATATAATAACATGAAAAACCAAAATAACATATCCCCACCAATAGTACTCTAGAGGACTATAATGAGAACCCTCTAGAGATAATACAGGACATGAAACTCAAAAGAACAATTATAAACACGATAAAAGAATTCAGCGAATTCAAAGAATACACAAACAAAGAAATCAAAGA